ATGCATATGCTAAGGCCACGTCTATTTTGACATTGGTTGGAGTCTGCTTCGAAAAGTCCAGACCTAGAGAAGTGAAAGCTAATATTCTGCACTGTTTTGGAAGGTGTTCCTGCCATATAAACGAGCATCTCATAGGGTCCTTTTGAGCAAATCGCAAATATAGCTGCATAAAACCATGCGCAGGCCTTGTAGTGTCATATAGCCCCATTTGAAGCCACCATCGCTAAAGCTGCAATACCAAAAAATATTAGTGACATACACCTCACAAATTCTCGCACTCGCAGATTGAGGGCGCGTTGACTCTGCTTTCTTTTCTCATAATTTGACGGAGCAATTCTTTTTTGGCCAGGATTGATAGTTACAACAAACAATTGGCCAAGTACAGCTAAAAGAAGCAACAATGTGGTAAATCATTTGGAACAAGCATTGCAAGCATGGCCATGAACAGTAAGTCATTACAAAAGGTTGATGTACTCAAACTAATGTAATCCTGCTAGTCTTGCATTTTATACAGGGTTGGGGGAAAGTCTTTGAACACGGTATTTTTATCGTAGTCACGAGACTAGGCAACAAATTTACATGAAATAAATATATATTGTTTATCAAGCAGTCTACTATATAAAAGCAACTTTACATTTCAAAGATCCCTCCTTTGGCGCGAACGCAGGCTCGAAGACGTTTTGGAAAGCTATCCACGGTGGCACGGAGGTACTCCACGTCGATTTCCTCCCACGCATTCTGAAGAGCGCGTCGCAGGGACTCCACAGTCTTGTGGGGACGAGCGCAGGCTTTGGCCTCAAGAACTGACCATACGCTGTAGTCAAGCGGATTAAGATCCGGCGAATACGGAGGCCATTCTGCGGGAGTGATGAAGTTCTTAACGTTGCTTTGAAGCCACGCCTGAACAACCTTCGACTTGTGAGCAGGTGCGCTGTCCTGCTGGAAGCACCAATCTCTACCGGCAAAATGGATCCTGGTCCAGGGTAGCAGTTCTTTCTTCAGTATGCTATCTAAGTACGCAGCAGCGTCTACCTTGGTGCCCTGAGGCACAAAAATCAGCGGCGTCTTGCCGTCGGAAGTGATTGCCGCCCAAACCATCACAGAAGCCGGATGGAGCTTACTTTCCACAAGGCGACCTTTGCTGTTTGCTTCTTCGAGCGACTTAGATATGATCCTGCTATTTTGGCGATTGAAAACCTGCTCCACGGTAAAAATTTTCTCGTCGGAAAAAAGGATCGTTCGGTGGCGTGCCTTGGAGAAGCGCTCCAGCAATCGGCGACACCTGTGAAGTCGGATCAACTTCATATTGTCTTGAAGTGCGTGTTTTTTCTGCATCCGATAGAGCTTCATCCCAAAGTTCACTTTCACAATGTCCGAGATGGTCCTACGACTAATGGACAGGTCTGATGCCAGCTCATTCAAGCTCCTCTGCGGATTACGGCGTATGCGTTCTCGGACGATCTTCCGGTTCGCGGAAGTGTTCGCGGTGGCCGGTCTGCCGTCCCTAGGACGGTCCTGGGTGCTGCCTGTCTCCATGAAACGGCGCAGGTTGTACCACACTGTGTTCCGCGGAATTCCGAGTATTCGAGCGATCTCCTTTTGAGACTTCCCTTCCGTGTGCATCTTCACTATCAGCTCGCGCTCTGATTGAGAAGGCATAATTCCGGTAGGATCAAGAATATCAATCCAATTTTTAGAGGGCTTTTATAGAACAGTTCAGAGACCATTCACACCAAAGATAAGACAAGATATGATATGATATGTTAAAACAAGATAGCACCAAAAAGTTGTTCAAAGACTTTCCCCCAACCCTGTAGATGTGCTAAGATGTGGTTGTGATGTAAGAGCAGAGTAGTATGATATCGCCCTATAAACCGTTTGTCAAAATTCTGGAACTGAGCAGACTTGCACGTATAATCTATAAAAGGTGCCATCCTCGTCCATGACGCCGTCAAACCACATGTAAGAAAAGTGGCTCTCACAAAAGGGGTTGCTGCGCACCGAGGTTCCTGTTCATTTTACGAACTCTTTGAACCTTCCTTTACCAGCCACCAAATTCTCCAATTCCTCGGTGCCTATCAAAAATTATAAGACGCCATAAAAAGGTTTTATTGATTCCGCTAAGATGATTTCGCAAAAAAAAGCACAAGAACACTATAGTAATGTTACCAGAATTCTGCTGAACACAATGAAATTTATTTGGAAGAAAAAGGTTGGATCTGGAGAAAGTTGTGCTCGTTTGAATTTGAAGGTGCGAAAACGAAAAAAACTTTCCGAATGACCTAATATATGTTGCAAGCATAAGTTCAATTTAAGATTATACCTGGCTTGCGTTATATCAAACCTCCTTTTTTGGTCATGCCAAAGGCAAACCTTGTTTGGATTATGCCCTACATCAGGGTGCGGTATAAGTGCTTTAACACATTCACGACAGGGCCGATTTTTCGCTGGCTGCCATTTCGGACCAGAGCATATTTCGCAAAATTGAGTTTGCGGAATAGTTTCAGATCACTGATGGGCCCTGTGGTCTGAAGTGTTAATCTTTTGGGAAGTACTCCAGGAGATGTATGCAGAAGTACTCGGTTTGTCTAAAAGTTTTACCGTGAACTAGCAAAATCAAAAACTTCAGAAAGCATACGACCCACCGGTGGGTCGTATTGTCCGAAATGACAGAACACGTACGACCCACCAGTGGGTCGTATTGTCGTGAATGTGTTGAAATTACTAAACTTTGTGAAGCAACTTACGTCCTCCTGCTCATTAGGTCATTTTCAGCTTATCGTCTCTGCATTCGTGACTTTGTGAGTACAATAAATTCCAAATTGCTTTGGTTTTTACCAACTAAGCTTCATTTCAATTACCGTGCAGGTCATTACATAAAAATTAGGAGAAAACAGTGTGCACATTTCTTTGTGATGGGCACACCTATGCTACGGGCATACATCCCTTGCTTGAACAATGTTGTCAATGAGTTGTGCTTACTGCGCAAAATGGGCCTCATTTCACGTACGTAAATTTGATCTTCAACACCTTTGTCGTTCATATTCAACAAGAACAACGGTTCTTAACTACAAGTTTTACAAGCACTTGACACTACACATGAGAATTTGCATGAGAGTCCCAATCAACGCGAAGCAGGCTGGCGATATATTTTATGAAAGATGTATTTGAATTTCCAATACTTTCATTATTTTCACAGCCGATTCAGAATTTTTCCAGAAGGCGATAGAATTATTTCCTCCTTCTGCTCCATTGGAGCGCGACGAATTGTGGAGTATCACATCTTAAAGGCAGCGAAACATCAGAATGACAGCTTTGGGATATTCATCGTTCTCTGTTCCCTTGGATGACCTAGTTCCAAAACTGTGCTTCGCAGTTTCTAAAAATATCAATAACCCCTTTTCCAGATTCGAAAAGTGCTGTTTGGGCAGACCGCATAAGACTGCCCTCCAAAGCAGTCTTACGCGGTCCTCGTGAGTGAAAGACCGCAGCCATCTCGGGGCAGTCGGATTATTGGCTTCACAGCCACTTTCGCAACCCACCCAAACCCTACTTTCTACGTCCAAAGAAGCGAGTTGTTGATATCTTGGAAAATTCATACATCATCCTAATGTACCTAGGTTCCATTGTTTGAAACCTGCTGTAAGCGGAGACAATTTTAAGAGGTTTCCAGGTTTCCACGATGGAAAACAGTTTGACGTTTGAATAAACAGCTAAAATAACGAGGCGAGCGATTACAACCACCTTGTCCCCCGCTTTCAGAAAATGTTTAGAGACGGAAGAGAGAGCTGGGGTTCTTGAGATTCATTTCACCAACAATGTCGCTTTGTTTCTTTCCCTCAAAGTCCTACGAAGACTCTTCTCGAACCGATTAATATGATCAACGAAATCATTGAATAAACAATCTTATTGATGAGGCTGAATGTCTGTTTTCTGTGTGCCTGTCTGACTGTCTAGGTGTACGTGTTCTGAACCGATCCATACCAAACTTTCACATACAGTCGGTTTCATCTCGGATTAGGCGAAACGTTCTAAGTAAAGCAGCGCATGCGCATCGCTGGAGGCTTCGCGAGCGCATAGCGCTGGCATTTTGCCAAGCAAAGTCTGAGAAGAATGAAGAGACGCAGACTTGGGTCTTAGCGCGATATGATATACTGTAGCTGCGAAGCGGCGCGAACCGCTCGAGGCGGACGCCCGCCAATCCAATTTCCGCCTAAAGCGGGTCGACACTTACTGTATAAACTTGGGGCGGGTGTCATAGGCTACTAGCAGTGGCGCACCGAGGGGGGGGGGGGGCCAAATAAACATTGAATCATCGCGCCCTCCCCCCCCCCCCTTTTCGGAAGTTACTTACATGAGTAATAAAAATGTGCAGAGAACTTGTTCTTATTTTTAAATAATTAGAATAATATTCTAAATTTTTCAAAAATTCAATTGAGCCATTATAAAAAAATTTTTCGGGGGTCTGAAACTTCGGGGTTAGGGACCCGCAAAAATTTTGGAAAGCATACCAAAAATTTTCGGAGTGCGCCCCTCCCGAGAATGAGTCACGAAATTTTTGAAATTTACTTAAGTGGCTTATAAAAATAAAGTGACTTGTTTATTTTTTTAGACAATTGAAGTTATTTTCAAAATTTTTTGAAAATTCAAATTAGCCTTACAAAAAAAAAATTTCCGGGGGCGTGGCGTTAGCCACGCCCCTTTTCCAGATTTTTGGGGTTGGGGATCACAAAAATTTTAGGAAGCACCCCTAAAATTTTTTCGGAGTGCGTGGCTAACGCTGCGCCCCTTCATTTGAAAAATTTTTTTGCCGCGCCCATCCGCCCGGACGGAAATTCTGGGACCGCCACTGGCCACTGGCTACTAGTATGATAATGTTTAGCATTTGAAGGTACGTGTATGTAAAAATAGGTTACATCCCTAAAACTAATTCTTGGCTCATAGCTCCAAATTTAGTTGGTATTTTGATTCGAAGTTACTTTTGCGCACCATAAAAAAGCAATGAACTTTTATTAGAAAAGAAAAATAAATATTGACTTGGTCAAAATCCCGGAACGGGACCCGCGTTAATGACATTCATCAGTGAACTTCCATGTTTTGCCAAAAACATCATTGCCTTCAGTTCTTTCACCACTCGATCCACCTGTTCGATAGGGATTCATCCGAAATCTTCAAAGGAGGTGCAGGTACTTACATCCTCATTAGTTGTTTCTCTGCCAAAACTGAATCGTATCGTTCTTTCGGCCATCTCTTTAGTAATTCCGCAAGTTAACAATACGGGACTGAAATAGAGGTTGTCTGTACACAAAATGTATGTATGTATACAAAGACTAAAAAATGTGGAATTAAATATGTCTCTAATGTGAGACATTTGCCGACAACATTTGCGCGTGAACAAATTGTCAGGAGCGCACTGTGCGCGCGCAGTACCACTAGTTGACTTACCCGGCTCCGCCCGGCCCTGTCATTATTATATTTGTAATCAGCATGCTCGATTACCCCCTGTACCAACTCCCAGCCCTGTAGCTCAAATTTTGCAAAAAATCGATAAAATCGATATCGATCGATGATGAAAAGTAGCCTATGACACCCGCCCGGCCCCGAAGGGTATGTGTGCCAAGTTTGGTCCGGATCGGTTAAGAAATAAAAATTTCTTTTCCGCACATACGTACAGACATACAGACATACAGACATACAGACATACAGACAGACAGACATTCAGCTTTATATATAAGATTGTAACCATTTGTTTACGCGCAAATGTTGTCGGCAAACATCGGTACCACAGGCCCTCATAAAATTTCAAAAAATCATTTAGAAGGGTTTTGCGATTATTAATGACATTAGTGAAGGACAGTATTATTGACAGCTGACCTGACTGCACCCGAATGGCAAGCCGATCCACTACTTGCGTAAAACGACTTGCATCTGAGTTCTCAGCATTATATCCAGCAGTTATCTTGATTGTGGCTTACTTGCTCATAAGATCCGACGAAGTCTTCGGGTATTTCACAAAAGCCACCGAGCTGGTGTTTGGTAGCCGCGGGGAAGAGGCAAAATGGATGATATTTTCATCGGGAATGGCTTCCTGTACGAAGCAATACCATCATTACTTGTTTACTATTTGTGGAGATTTTCTACCTTCAGCTGCTTTTCAAAGTAGTCTCGAACAGCTCGAAGATGTGTTTCTGTTTTGGGTAGATTGCATACAGCAGCAGCGGCTCCTAGGCCCATAATCATAGGAGTATTTTCAGTACTGGAATAATTTGCCTATACTAATAATACAGTTTTTGGACTAAGAAGGGAGAGATAATTGGTAACGCGAACAGTTGAGGTAGAGGTACATTACAAGGTGCATCTTTATATTCTGATTTCAAATCTATGTCGATTCTGCAAAACGCTTCTTTGAAACATTTCAAGCATTTTTCCAGTGAAGAACTATTTGGTTTTAGGGAATCAAAATGGACAATATCGCAGACCTTGTGTTTTATGCTAGTCAACACCTACGGAGGGAGAGAGACTGGTTCGACTGGTTCATTTGTATTTGTGAGAAAAAAGAGCGAGAAAATTGCACGAGTCTGATCCTCAACAACAGGCAAACTACTGTACCGCAGAATTGTTCAAAATCGTTTGCACAAATAAGAGATCTAAATCAGCAATCAAACGCATCTGCCGATACGCCACTTTTTGATGGCCACGGTTACCAAGTACCCTTTCCCGGTAAGCTTACCTACCCAGATCTGAGCTTCCTTTCCTGCCCTCCTCCGTGTAACATAGGCACGATATTGGTAGTATACTTTGACCGCAGAACCAATGCGCCATTTCGGGGCCCGTAGAACTGAATTATGGGATCATGGTTGATATTGTGAAATAAAAATTGCATGAGAAATTTGGAAAACCTTGTGTCCAGCTACGGTAATTGCATCCACTTTCAATTCCGCGAGATTTACGTCTATCTTGCCAATTGCTTGGGTAGCATCCGAGTGGAGGAAGACAGTTGTACCTGAGTAGATTTAATAAATGTAATGTAAGAGTTACTGGTGCTTTGAAAAATAAAATTTTGTATTTCAAAGCATAAGGTCACTGGTGGCCAAAAACTCTAGAGGGGCCTGGCGTTGTCCGAAAAAATTCTGAGGTGCCAAATTTTTTACAAGTTTAAGCCCCTAATTGTAGGAAAGGACTAAATCGGCAGCCGGTAATTCAAAAAAAGTGTGCAGAGGATTGTTTGAGCAGTTTTTCCAATGAAAGAACCACAGTGCTTCATTTAATGAATACCATAGTGCAATCGCATTACTTTTGAAATCGGTAGTGAACAAACCGCATGCTTATACCAACATATGATAAGAGATAGCAGAACACGAGAAGAAGTAGCACAAAACGAAGTAAAAAAAAGTGCCTCCTCCTCCGATTAAACCATCACGCGCAAAAAAATAGTGCAACTGCACAATACGATTGGTCGAATAAGGCTGACTGTAGACTTAGCGTCTTATATGGTTAGGACTTTGAGTACGGGAAATTTTGCCGAATCTCAAATTTCGTAATTTTTTTCTTCATTTTCTTTGCAGAAACAACCTACCGTGCTTGCTTGAAGCTTTCCGGACAGCATCGCTAAGATCAGCAATTGGCTGTATTACGCCAGTCTCGTTATTTGCTAGCATCACAGTCACCAGACATGTCGATGGAGTCACTAGTTGAAGAGCATCGGATGGCGTTATTTGTCCAGTCTTCTGATCTATCGGGAGAATAGACATCTCTGAAACAAAAGTAAACTCATCGCTCAGAAGATAAATTATCGTTTTTTAAAAATAAGGTTTGAGCTTTAAAATTTGTGCACTGATCGCTGCAACTGTAAATTTCACTTCCAACAATGCGATTCGAAAAGGTTGGTTCTGCAAGTGATATGTAACAGAGAGCTATGACTATGGTTTTCAAGTCCTTTCATAATCACAGATCAATTTGATTTATTACGTTATGGTTCGAAAAAGGTTCAAAACAATACCAAAACATCTTCGTGACATCCTTACTCTCTCGGAAAGCGCCATCTTTCACGCGGTTTCATTAAATAGCACTTTAGCTGGATTTTGTTTTCAAATGAACATGAAAAGCCATGAAGGAGAGAGTACGAACGGTATCCTTCTTCGTAGGCCTCTGTCAAAGCATAAACTTTCCAAACAACGACATCCGAGATCAAGATGTATATTTGCCAGATGATTGCAGGAGTAGGAAAATAAATTCGCCTTGGTAGCTAAGAATTTTGATTTTTTGGATGTCGGGAAAGCTAGGATTGTCTTTAGATGTTTATAGGCACTGAACGATCGCAACATTACCTTTTTGACTTGCTAGTGCCCGTTGAAATATGCAGTCACTTGCGTGAGCAAGATGTATAGTCCATACTGCACTTATGTGTAAGCAAGATGGAAGTCATTACAAATTCGGCTGGCCCTCCACTCCGGGCATTAGGCCTCGGACAGAGTTCACGCGATTTCATCGATTCGCGATTCTCCCACAAGACAACTGTCACAACTCTACTGCATTTCGATCAAGTTCCTCGGCTGTAATAATTCACGATTGGTCGCGTCGAAAAACTATCACAACCGGAATGCAAGTTGATGGCATGGAATGAACTCGTAGCAGTTGTCTTATTGAAGAATCGCGAGGCGATAAAATCGCGTGAACTCTGTCCGAGGATCTAAGCATCGGATACGACATTTTTTCAAGTAAAAATAAGGTGAACAGTAGCCTACTGTGTGTATATCTCATTATCATACTTGTGAGTATCCCTGCACTGCTTACAGGTTCAAAGTAACGAATATTCTCATAGTATTATTAACAAATTCTCTTCACAGGATCACTTGTAATCTAACAGCTTTTTTGTCTGAATTTTATCCCGTTTTCGCCAAGCACTGAGTTTTTTGCAATGAGCATGGTCTCCATTCCGAAGTCAAAGGGCGGAGAAATAAGGGTATTTTCAGAACGGTCCAACATGAAATACTTTACAGCCTACTTCAATATATTCCACTTCACAAGTAAGAAGGATAGAAAACTTGAAAATGCGCTTTCATCTATTCACTATAATCAGTTTTAGATGCGACGCTTCACCGTTTTTCGCGGAAAAACGAACACTGTGGAAAAGTTCCTCGCTAAAGAAACTTTAACCATAACTTTGAAGGGATTTACGATGACAAAACATGTGAAAGAAAGTTGAAGTAAAAAGACCGTATTTTTCCTGTTCTCTCTAGAAAACAACCAAGAAGCTCAGTCTTGGGGCGATTACTCCAATTATTTTTCCATAAGATGTCAAGCAATAAACACGAAAATTACATTTTTAATCGCTATCCCTGGTCTGCTTACCTATTTCTCCATTATCTTGCAAATGGTGCAATGGTTCAAGGATGGACGGATGTTCGATCGCAGAGCAGATGATATGGGGCTTTTCGCCCGGATGTTCTGCTTTGAACCTCTCAACAGCCGAATGGATCACCCAGTTGTTCCCCTGAGATAAAAAGAAAACCAACGAAGATATCAAAGGTGGCGATAGCACTCACTTCAGTTCCACCTGATGTAAAGATCACTTCATCAGCTGAGACATGTAGCAATGCAGCAAGCGAATTTCTCGCTTTGTCGATTTCCTCCTTAGCTTTCAATGCTGAAAAATTCTGGTGAAAAAACTCTGAATTTCAGACTTATTAGTCCGACCTATAGGATTCCCGCTAGCTGGATTTGCCCATAACTCGAGGCCTGCTGTAACTGCAGCTTTTACTGACGGATCCAGCGGAGTCGTCGCATTATAGTCAAGGTAGACTGGCTCCTGTTCCTCTATATACCAAGACATTTGCCTAGTGCATTATTGAGATCTCGGGTAGCCTGGAAAAAGAGTTCAATTTGTATTAGGTTGTAAAGAAAATAATGTCGTTTTTTATTTGCTTGCTACAACAAAGCAAACAGACTCAATCCAACAAAGGGTAAGAGGTACTGTTCGATAGAGCGAAGCAAGCTCTACAAGATGGCATTCATGATTTTGCGCCAAGCTCGATCCACGGAGAGTTCGCACTCAAAATCTAAAGATTTCCAAATGCTCAAAAAATCCAAAAAATTCAAATCTTCGTCCAAATATTTTCTACGGACCTCCCACTCGCTCACGTCAATACTTTCGATATCTGATATCCATATGTGCGATTGCTGTATTTTTTTAAACTAGAAATTGAGAAAACGAAAATTTTCCTGATTTTTCCAAAGCAATGCTGAGCCGTTTTTGCATATGTAGTTCTATACTACAAGCCTACGTAAGCATAACTAAAGGTTTTCAGCCTATTTCGAACGGTACTTTTCGAGAAGTGTCGATTTTAGCACTGAAACTGAGACGAAAAAATCCGCATTCGATATTTTTCGAGAACTATCGCTTGGAATGGGCTGAAAGTCTACAGTTATGCTTACATAGGCTTGTAGTATAAAACCACATATGCAAAAACGGCTCAGCATGGCATTGAGGAAAATAGGAAAATTTTCGTTTTCTCAGTTTCTAGTTGAGTAAAAAAAACTACAATCGCACTCATGGATATCAGATATCGAAAATATTGACGTGAGCAAGTGGGAGGTCCCTAGAAATTATTTGGACGAAGATCTGATTTTTTTCGATTTTTTGGGCATTTGGAAATCTTTAGATTTTGAGTTCGAACTCTCCGTGGATCGAGCTTGGCCAAAATCGTGGATGCCATCTTGTAGAGCTTGCTTTGCTCTATCGAACACTACCCCTTACCCGGGTTTGCTGGGTTGATTCTGTTTGCTTTGTTGAAGCAAGCAAATAAAAAACGATATTATTTTCTTGACAACCTAATAATTTGCGGAGCTTCTGTCGAGGAATGAAAGCAGACGACAAAAAATGATCAGAAAAGAGTGAACAATGTTAATTGAAGGATCATCAGTTACAGGGGATGGGGTCATTGCTTAATTGTCAAAAATCTATGTAGCCTAACTCTAGGCAAATTGGAAAAAAATTTTCAGTAAAATCGAGTCGAACAAAAAGGTCCGAAGACGACCTCAACATATGCGAAATCGCATCTTCATCTAGCTGAATTCCAAATTTTCCCTCCTTCAAACACTACGCGATTGTTTCATTTTGGGAAAAGAGACTCGCAAAGAGTGAAATGGATTGGTAGGGAGCGAACTATAACAAATGGGTACTCTAAACTTCGATACTCTCTGCAAAATTATGACATTACATACAATTCGCAAAGGTCGATCCATTCGAAAATGTGAGAAGGACCGATTGAATCACTTCAATGCCGCTTACCACATGCTTCTTTATGGGAAGTAAGCTAGGTATTGTTAGAAAACAAATTATTAATTAAAACTTCACACATGTTCTACAGAAGTTAGAAACATCCTGCATACTAAAAACTACATATTACCATCATAAATGAAAAAGCTAAGTTTGCGCTTTGTTGGCGGTTAAAACTTCTATTTTTGGGAAACGACAACTGAGAAGGATGATTGTACCCACACGAATCCAGCTGAAAATTGATGAATCATCTGACCTCACTACCAGACAAGTTTTGGTACATAATTACATAAACAAAAAAGGACGTGGAACTTCTGCGAGTTCTAAATGAGCAACGTAGTGCATTTTTTTACCTCTTGAAACATCAGTCTCAACATAAGTTTATACTCGAGGAATAACCTTTTTGAATCTATTTGAAAATTTCATTTTTTATTAATGTGGAGGGTTTCAGCTTTTTGATGTATGCATGTCGCACATGAGACTCACGAATCATCTAAATCTCAAAAAAAAAAAAGAAAACAAGTTATTAATACTTGCAATATTGCAAAGCTCAAAATTCCGAACGTTTTCGTCTTAGCACTAATACTAAGGGTGGACTATCAAAATTTTGGAGTAAACAAAAAGGGCGAGAGAGATCTTTTGGCAAAATTGAAAGCTGAAGTGCCGCTACAGATTCCCACATTATTGATTTAATCTATGTGTGTGAAGGTGAAAACGATGTTTAGATTGGCCCCTGTCCTTTTGCCAAGTATAAAATTATGTTGAATAGAGTTTCTTAGAAAAAGGTGAAGGAATTGTAACAGCAATTACGTTGCGGCCTGATAATAAAAACATTTTTGCATATGAAAGTGGATCATTGCTCCTTTCCGGGAAATTTCTGGAAAAAGTTTTACATTTTCGAGGCTAACTAATAGAGTTACATAAGCATAGCTAATAGCCATTGCACTTCCTAACAACTAGGGATTCTCGTTCCCTTCAAGCCATTGAGATAACAAGAGAATGATTTCCGGATACCATTATACATAAGTATGTGATTGAGCGATGCGGCCCCTTTTTTCTAAAATTGCGGGGTCATGGACCCGTGAAAATTTTCGGAGCGCGTGGCTAATGCCACGCCTTCATTTGAAGAAATTTTTTGTCCTCCATTTCTCCTTCCCCGAGTGGGAATCCTAGATACGCCACTGGTATGTTTTTGGCACATGAAATGCTAAGCCACTGATGAAAAACCAAGATAGAACTGTGCACCGGGCTGAAAAGTATTGGAAATAATGACAGTTATTTTCATATCAAAAGGTAGTAGTAGTCGAGATGCAAAAAATAAACTAATTTTCACTTACGAAAATCAAATCAATTATGAAATCATTCATGGAGGCGGAATTATCAGTTTTTTCAGAAAGGATTCAAAAAGTGTTGACTAGCACATCGTGACACCAACTCTACTTTTTGCAAAGCGAACAACTTTCAAAAATTTGAGTTCTGATTTTTTACAATTAGTCACAAGTCAATTTTATGATGTAAGTAACATGTGTAGTTTTCCGATGCATTCTCGAGGGGGGGGGGGGAGGAAGCGTAGCTATGATTCCTATGGAGACAAAAGGCTGTTGCAGCGTTGCCTTCGAATGATCAGATAGAATATCAAAACATTGGAGTAACAGCACTATATCGGAATGAAAGGTGTTTCAAGCTCGCAGTGGAACTTTGTAAAAATGTAATCTCACATATCGCTAACAAGAGCGCAGATAATAGTCGAGATCGTCATGACATACTGCAAAAAATGTCAAACAACGCTGTGCATATGACATTAGTCATGATATGCGTACCTTTCCCATGAATTCAGTCGATCCCACTCGAAATCGGGTACATACAACAAGTTCGAGCGGAAAGGGCATCAAATGGATGAATAAACAAGCTATGAAGGGACATTCGCTGAACTGTAAATAGCAAGAGAAGGAAAGAGCAGCCGCGTAGCGATCGAATCGTTTCAAATGCAGAACAGCAAGCATTGTATTGCTAGCCACGCCAGAGCAGGAAGGGAAACCGATCGAAACGCTAATGGAAAATTTTGGGAGCACAGGCAGGCCGCGCTGCCCTGATAGACAAAAAACTCTCACTTAATTACTGCTAAAATGGAACAGCGTCGTTTCATGAGAAAATTAAGTTCCTGAAGTTGTGTGATATTTCTCGACATACTGATAAACAATGCAGCGGAAGTAAGGAAGTGAAAAAAGAAATGAACTTACAAAAAATAGTTACCAAGATCAACCCAGATTCTGTAAAATAGCTCTCGCTTTGCAAGTTCTCTGCGCATCTCTCACTGTTTTATGCGACCACCACTTTACGGGGTCATACGGATCAAAGTGAGTGTGTAAAGGGTCGCGCATACGGACAGCGAAATCATCGCGTCGCGAATCTGCGAAAAAGCAACTGTCACACGTCGAATGTATCGCGCGCTTGTTGCTCGGCGCGACGCGACCATCTTTTGTTAGCCCGTACTTCGCTCAGAGAAATTGTTGCGCTTCGCTCATTTCGAATGAGCGAATTTCTTGCAAAAGGTTTTGAGTATGTTCTCCAATTTTGAAGCTGGTCTCTTGTCTGGGGATTGGAAACTAGTCCATTTTTGTCAAAGTGCATTTAATTCTGTAAGATGCTTTTGTACCTATCAGAACCTTGTCCATTTTGTTGTTGTTTTTTTTGACTGCTTGCCTAATCGAACGATCGATTCGATTCGATGTAATAATTCAATCATTAGATCACAAAAAACCGTTGACAATCACTTACTTACAAAGAAGGTGATTCCAATCAAAAATGTATACTGACACCGGTTATGCATATGAGTTCAAACATCATTTATAGGGCATGTACTGAAAGTGATAACTACAAGCTCTGCTTCACTTGTGTCAAAAGGAAAAGATCATCCGAAGGTATGGGTCATTATAAAATCTGACGACAGATTGAGTGCGGACTTTGCGCCCAAGGAGCGTAGAACGCTCATACAAGGACACATCATCTCAAAGCTCAGCCCAGTCACTTCCAGTGTCTAAATGCTACCATAAGTGAGCAAAAAAAACACTCGACTAGAAATAAAACTAAGAAAATGCGGTTTCCGGAGGTGGCGTACGTGTGGAGCGCGGTCGCGCCATCGTCACGATTTTCCAAATCTTATATATAAAGCTGAATGTCTGTTTGTATGTATGTATGTATGTCTGTCTGTATGTATGTATCGTTCATTCGTTGACCGTACGGACTGCCGACCGCGTGGCGACTGCGACGCGTGCCTTCTAAATTTGCGAGAAAGTGACAAGTTGGACCGTGGCTTAAGATGCGAAGATTTCTTTGTTTGTTTTCTACATTATAAAGATGAGAAGAATCCTCTGTTTTCTTTCTATCCATCTTTTCTACGAAAACATCATGCACGCGCAGCGGTCGCCGCGCGGTCAGCAGTCGTTACGGTCAACGAATAAACGATATGTGTGTACGTATGTTCCGAATAGAAAATTCCATTTCTGAACCGATCCGGACCAAACTTGGCACACATACACAACGAGCCCCGGCGGGTGTCATAGGCTACTTTTCGTCATCGATCGATATCGA